TTCCTGTGGAGCCTGCCGGCCGTGGGTACCGCTCTTCCTCGGGAATCTGCGCACACGTATACACGTACACACGTGTGCCCAAGTACCAACATATGTTATAATACATTATACATTTTATATAAATATTATTATTATCGAGTGTCTTTGATGGCTTTATATACATATTGTTATACGCGTATTATTATACAATGATGTTATTGTTTTTTGTTTTTTTTCGATCATTGTTATCGCGTTTAAAAATATAAGGCATTAAGAGGGTTTTGAGGACGATTGTGCTTTATTTTTTTTTCTCCGCACATTCGATTTAAAAACAAACGATTATTCCACGTTTGCAGGAGCTCTCGGTTGGAATCTACTGTAATCATACGGTACATATCTTGGATATCTTGGCGAGTATTGTAGAAAAAAAAAAAAAAAAAAAAAACACTACGATGTAGGCTCGGGATAAGCGCATGTAGTCACGGGTTGTATGCGTAACGTGTAGCTGTACGTTGGTTTGTTTTGTCATTAGCGTCGTCGGGTGCACACAAGAAAAGTATCGGTACGTACAATTACGTTTTGTGGGAGTAGTTAAAAACGGAAGCGAGTCCCGGATTGCGTGATGGGCAGGACGCGCTTTTTAGCTGACATAGTCGTTGAACAGGTGAAACGGTCTTACGCGGGTTTCCGCCTCGAGCTCGCTGAGCGCATCGGCCCAAGAAAGGAGGGAGCTTTTGCAGGAGGCACTGGTTTTTTTTTTTTTTTTTTTTTTTCGAGTTCGTCAACTACAACAAGCGCCAGATGAGCCGAATATACCCCAAAGGCACCCGAGTCGATTCCTCGAACTACATGCCCCAGGTGATTATACGCGTCCATCGTATGTAGCTACCGCACTTTCCGTTCAATTTGTAAAAAGAGACAGCTCTACCAACGACGATGGAACATAGGCGAAGAAGAAGAAGCTCTATGGATGCGGATGAATTTGTATATATATATATATATAGCTGGCGCATATTGTAGTGTATACCATTTAATCGCATCAGAGAGAGAGAGTGCATTGGTGTGATTGTGTAGCAGTTGATCAGACGAGTGAGATTAATGAGTCGTTGTTTATTTTTGTTTTATCTTGACGCGCAGGTGTTCTGGAACGCGGGCTGTCAGATGGTGGCGCTCAATTACCAGACGCCCGACTTGCCGATGCAGCTCAACCAGGGAAAATTCGAGTACAACAACATGACCGGTTACCTACTAAAGCCCGATTTCATGCGCAGACCCGACAAAAACTTCGATCCCTTCTCAGAGGGCGTCGACGGCGTCATCACCCAAACCTGCTCCGTGCGGGTACGTTGTTTTGCGAGTTTGTTTGCCGATTCCCAATTGGTTCTAATCAAATCACCACCCCCCCCCCCTCC